GGCGAGGCGCAGCTGCAGGAAAGCATCCCGAGGCTGGAAGACCTCCCGGAAGCGACGAAATCGTCCGAAGCCCTGAAACGACGACAGGGAGGGTTCCAGCGGAGCGCGAGGATCGACCGTCGCCCCAGACTTCGGACGTCAGACCCGCAGCCGTCGCCGTAGAGGGCGCTGCAGGCGGGCGACACAGCACCGGCGAGCTGGAGCAAAACTGCTGCCGCAGCAACAGTCATCGTCACGACGTGTGCTCGCGGGGCGAGATCTGAAAACGCCGACCGCATTGCAGCCACTGCCTCATTCTCTCGTTCTCTCGCTCTCTCTCTCTCTCTCTCTCTCTCTCTCCCCCCTCCCCCACCCGATGCTCCTCCTCCCCTTGCTCCTCCCCCCTCTCCTTCCCTCACAAACAGATCCTCCCCCCCCTACGTGTCGGCGGGGCGTGCTGGGCGCTTCGCCCGAGACGGCCTCAGCACCAGGGCGCGAGGGCCTCGAATCTAGAGCGGCTGCACGGCTGGAGGAGCGGTGCTATACATTGAGCTATACCTCGCCGCGGCGCCGCGCATGCTCGCCCGGAACGCCTGCAACCGTTACACGGATTCATGTGGGGGCGTTTTCAATCTTGAGCTTTCGCCATGGCGCCGCGCTCCACCGCATCAGAGGCTCGCAGTTGATATTAGTCAAGGGGTGGTCAGACTGAGGCTCCCGCCTCAGCGCCGCGCACGTACGTCTTACAAGCGTGCAGCAATCAGACGATGTATGGGGGGTGGTTTTGCAGTGGGGCCCTCGCCTCACCGCCGCGCATGTTCCCCTTGAACGCTTGCTACCCCTACAGGGGTGGAGGGCGGCTCCTTTTCGAATCGGGGCCGTTGCCCGGGCGCCGCGCACATCCGCCTCAACAAACGCCTGCAACAGCTTCAAAGATGGAGGGCGATGCCTGTCCGAAATGCGGGTGGCCCTTACGCTTAGGTCGGGCCTGTCCCCCTGCAGGGGGATTTTGGACGAAAAACGCGATATATTCCAAACATATCCAACAATGGCCAAAAAATGCTCAAAAAATTAGCCTGGCGAAGGACCCAACCATATGCAGTTGTGAATACCGCAAGTATGAATATCGCTTTCGGTGGCGGTACCTCTGGGTAGGGGAGACGCATGCGGGCACCCCCACTGGGGCCTTCGGTGGAGCTCCCTATGGGGCCACGAAACGCTGCCCTGGGTGGGGGAACCGCATGCGGGCACTCCCACTGGGGCCTACGGTGGAGCTCCCTTTGGGGCCACGAAACGCTGCCCTGGGCGGGGGAACCGCATGCGGGCACCCCCACTGGGGCCTTCGGCGGAGCTCCCTATGGGGCTACGAAACGCTGCCCTGGGTGGGGGAACCGCATGCGGGCACCCCCACTGGTCCCCCACTGGGGCCTTCGGTGGAGCTCCCTATGGGGCCACGAAACGCTGCCCTGTGTGGGGGAACCGCATGCGGGCACCCCCACTGGGGCCTTCGGTGGAGCTCCCGATGGGGCTACGAAACGCTGCCCTGGGTGGAGGAAACGCATGCGGGCAGAAGGAGGGGGGGTGGGGAGGAGGGGGAGGAGGAAGGAAGGAAGGAAGGAAGGAAGGAAGGAAGGAAGGAAGGAAGGAAGGAAGGAAGGAAGGAAGGAAGGAAGGAAGGAAAGAAGGAAGGAAGGAAGGAAGGAGACGCGGGGCGCTCTCTGCAAAACGAGGACCCAACACCACAGGATGGTTGGGAAATACTCCCCTGACTATTTTTTGACTATTTCTGAAACTATTTTTGAATATTCCCCCCGTAGAGGGACAGGCACGACTGAACTCTAGAACTGCTCTCTCTTCATGGCCAGAATGGCAAGCTTGTGAAACGTCTATCCGCTCTGGCCAGAACTTCGAGGCATACCCAGCCGTGGCCACGAGGAGGCCCGGGCAGCGCCCAGAGACATTCAAAAAGCTTCATGTTCGATCCCGGATCCCCGAACCTCCGTCTTCGACCCTCAACCCTCCATCCACGATCCTGCACCTTCGACCATCGCGCCCTGAACCTTCGACCATCGAGCCCTGAACCTTCGACCTTCGACCATCGAGCCCTGAACCGTCCATCCTTCACCTTCGACCATCGATCCATCCACGATCCTTCACCTTCGACCCCTCGACCCTCCATCCACGATCCTCCACCCTCGACCATCGAGCCCCGAACCCCGGCCCTCAATGCTCAAACCTTGATCCTTGCTTCTGTCGGGGGTGACCAAATGGGGGGCGTCCAAGAGGGGGGGGTGCAAATCATGGCCGGCGGCATGTGCGCGGCCCTTTGGGGGGCCAGGGACGTCATGAAATAAGAAGAGGCGCCATGATATCTGGGGAAATATCATGGCCCACGCCATAATATCCACCCTCCCCTAGTCATCACCCCCATCTTTGCCGCCCCCTGAACGGGGGGGACAGGATGACGAAGCGGAAGAGGCAAGGACGAACGAGGGTATCTGAGGAAGATACGCTTCGAGTGGTTTGGGAGATGACGGCCGATGCACATGCTGATTGCGCACGCCACCGCGAACATCAAAGCAGACCTTACGACGATGTGTTGGCTTTCTGGCCCTATCACTAACCGGGACCCCTCAAGAGGAGTCCTGGCCACTCCCGCTCTTTGCCGCCCCCTGCTTCTGCAGCGTCGAGTGCCTCAAGACGGCTGCCCGGGATGTGGGCGCGGCCAGCACCCACGGCACGCCGAGGGCAGGCGTCGCAGGCACCCGGGCCAGCGCGGGCTGGCGAGCCTCGATGCGGTGGTGCCCACGGGGTCCCCGCGGAGGTGTTCCCGCAGAGTCAACCGGTGCAGTAAGGATGCGCGAGAAGGATGCAATGGCCTTGGACGCCCATTTCGAAGCTGTTCGAGCGGGGCGCGGCCAGCGAGAGCGGCGAAGGATGGACCGCGAGGAGGCAAGGATGCAAGGGTACCCTTGGGAAGGTTGCCCATCCTTGCTATGCGGGTTGACTGTACAGTGGAGGCCAGTCCACCAGAAACCTTCCACAAGAAACCCAACCCTGAGACCCCAGGACGTCCGCTGAGATTTTTGGTGTGGGCACGTCACGCTTTCCATGGCAAGGCCATCGAAACCCAAGAAACCCAGGGCACCCTGGAGGCAAGCAGGGTGGTTCTTGGCATGGGCCCCCACTGTAGCCTCCTCAGGAGTCAACTCCTCGAAGGTATTCGCGTGACCCTGACCTCCTCGCGTCGTGAACAAAAATACGACGGTAAACACTTGCCCGTGTTCGGCCTGCGGGGGCCCTCACCGGGCCCTGGGACCGTAAGAAAGCGGTCGGCATGGAAAGACGGTCGCCGAGAAGGGCTCCATACCTATGGACCACCAAGCCCGAGTAGGGAGCTATCAATCCGGATTAAACCAAACATCAGGCCATAATATCAAGTCAGCTTATAACGAAGTCGAAAATATCATGCCATATCGAACAGACTTCGGCTGGACCAGGCCGGCTTACCAGCGCCGATGATGAGTTCGACATTCAGGGAAATTCAACCTCGCCTTTTCGGCTTTCCGACGCTCCAAGACGGCCGAAGAGGCCCCCAAGACCACCCCGACACGGTCAAGGAGGCCCCCAAGGGGGCCCCCAAATGGCCCAAGAGTGCCGCAAGACGGCCCAAGAAGCGCAAGCCCCAGGAGGTCCCAAAACGGCCCCCAAGAGGCCTCCGAACTGCCTCCAACAGGCCCCCGAGAGGCCTCTCACGAGATCCCAACGAGCATTCAATAGGATTCATGCGCGCAAGCCAGGCGCGGTGGCGGGATGGGCCGCAAATGGGGCTCTCAGACCTCTTCGTTTGGGATGTCCGCGCGCATGTCTCGGGCCGGCGCTGGACACGCGCGCGAAGCGCGCCCCGGCCAGCCAGGGCGGGGTCCAGCGCCGACCCAAGAACTCCTCGCGGGTCTCTGAAGGCTTGTGTGGCTGCGGGGCTCAAGATGGCTCCACGACGGCCCAAGAGAGCCCAAAGAAGGGCCTAAGGTGACTCCAACGTGGCGCCGAGAGCGTCCAGGAGGGCCCCAGGAGCGGCCTAAGAGTGCCCCAGTAGACGGTCCCTCTGCCTCTGACGAGGGGGTACTAGTTAAGAACCCCTTCTTTATCTGATGTCCTCCAAGATGGCTCGAAGAGGGCGTCCAATGGCAGCAGACCCCAAAAAAGCCCCGAAGGCTTCCAAACCAAAACGGCCCAAGAAGGCTACCAAAACCTCCACGATCGAAAGATCCGAAGAGGCATGTTGGTTTGACTCCCGGGTCTGCTCGGTCTCATCCCGAGCGTTGGTTCCATGCGTCAGGAACTTGGCCCCCACCCCCATCCATACGCCATCCTCCTCCTCCTCCTCCTCCTCCTCCTCCTCCTCCTCCTCCTCCTCCGCCTCCTCCTCCTCCTCCGCCTCCTCCTCCTCCTCCTCCTCATCCCACCTCCTCGGCCACCGTTTCCTCCGTATCCTCCGCCCTGCATTTCTCCACTGCTACATATACTGCCATCCCCTCCCATTCCCTCCTCTCCGTCCTCCTCATCCAGTTTCTTCTGGCTCTCTTACTGATGCTGTTGCTGCTACTGCTGGTCCTCCTCCTCCTCCTCCTCCTAAACCTCTTCCTCTCCCCTCCTTCATATCCTGGCTATCGTGGGGGAGTTCATTGAGGGAGACTGAAGGGGTGGAACGCCGATGCAAAACACAACTATTCCTCTCAGCTCTCAACCCGCACCTCTCCCCTCACTCCTCCTCCCTCCTTGCTCTTACTCCTCATCCTCCCCCTTTTATCCTGTCGTCCCTCTCACTATCTCTTCCCCGTTGCTCCCTCCCTCTGTTATAGTTTCTTGTCTTGGATCGTCGACCTCCTCATCATGGTCCTCCACCTTCTCATCATGTTCATCCTCGTCCTCCGCTTCCCCGTCGCCTTCCTCTGCCTCTTTCCCCATGTACTCAAACGGTTCCAACAAGGACGCGTCAGAGGCAAACGCGGGAAGGCGGTCCGTGCATCTGAACACTATGCTGTTAATCACGATCACGCCAGTGGGCGCCTGGACAGAACTGTGGTCAAAGGAGATACAATACGACCTAACAGACAATGCGTTACTCTCCATTCCTGTCGCGTTAACTCACTCTGAGGGGAAAATCGTATCGCTCTGCTCTTGGAATTTCCGCGCTGATCACATTGCCGAGCGAGATGGTTGTCTGTGATTGCACCCTCCCCCTTCACCTCCCCCCATCTCCTTCCAAATAATGCGCGCTAGGTGCATATAGACGAGAGCAGAACTCGCGAAGGTTGGTCCACCCACGACAAAACGAACGAACTTTCACTCCTGAGCGAATGTCACACGGATCTACGGTAGGCTCATGCCTTGACGTGACGATATGGGCCCTGTTTTTGGACGCCGTGAGACTCGTTCCATCTTGAACGATCTCCGCTCTCGGAGGTCCCAACCGGCTGTCGACAAAGTCTTTCATGCTGATTCCGTGCCGCGCATTACTTCCTGTGGCTGCAAGGAAGGCTCCTTCGCATCGGGGTTGGACAGAACCCCCTTTAGCAAAACGCCCCTTAGTGGAAGCTGCCAGGGGCACTCTGCGCACGTCACCTCATTCCGAATGCTCGGCAGCGGGGAAGCAAGTCGACGCCAAAAAACGTCCGAATGTGTCCGGCGAAACGCGCGTCGATCAGCGACACCGACGGGGGACTGCTCTGGCACACTCGAATACTACTGCCTCGAGTGAACCGGCGCAGACTTACTCAGTCGACCTGTCTTGGCGGGCGTTCTCTCAATGCCCAACCGCAGATCGGGGGGATGTAAAGACGTGGGGCAGGGGTAGAGGTGCGGCTGGGAGGAACATCGCTATAAACGGCTTCTGGAAGAAGGACATGTGAGCGCCCAGCTGAGCTCGTTCCCTAAGCCCGCCTTGGGGACAACCCTGGGGGGCAACGATGGGGGAACTGGCATAAGGGGGGGACGCATCGACCTGGAATCGGCGATACTTCGCCGATAGATCGGCGATAGGCCCCGAATAGGGAGTCCGCACCTTCCTGGGCGGGTCGGGGCTACCGGGCCCCTATCGGGCGATCAATGGGCGCTTGGGGGTCGATGCATCTCCCCCTATAGGCGTATCCCCCCCCCTGCCGTTGCCCCTGACCCCCCCCCTGCGAACCCCCGAGCAGGGCGTTCCCTCTCGGCTGCCCGCCCCGGCGCCTCCCGCCGCGCCGGGGCGGCGGGAGGCCCGCGGCACGGGAGGCGGTGGCCCGGAGCAGGCGCGCGGGCGAGAGAGGGCGCGACAGACCCCGGGGTCACGGGCGCTGGCTCACCGGCCCGGAGGCCTTGGCGTTCGGGTGTGGCGGAGCAGTCCCCCGTCGGTGTCGCCGATCGACGCGCGCGTCGCCGGGCACATTCGGTCAGTTGTGGGCGCCCTGGCACCCGCAGGAAGCAGCGCGCGGCACGGGATCAGCAGAAAGGACTTTGTCGGCAGCCTCTGGGGACCTCCGAGAGCGAAGATCGTTCAAGATGGAGCGAGTCGCACGATGTCCAAGAACAGGGCCCACGTCGTCACGTCAAGGCGTGAGCCAGAGCCGTTTTTTTCGGCTTCCAAAGGGCCCTCCACAACGGCACCATCTGCTCTCTGTGCTCCCCTCTGGCGCGGGCACCACCACGGGCGGACGCCGAGATTCGAAGGACCCGCACACCGTGAGCCGAAAGAAAAACGTAACTCTTATTCCGCGCGCCACCCCTCGGAGCGAGGAGGGGAACGCAGCCCTGAGCCCGAGCTTGCCGTGGGGCGCCAGGCCCGCCCAGCACAGACCAAGAGCCAGAGCCAGAGCCCCACCCAGACCTGAAGAGCGCCAAATTCGGAAGCGCGGGGGCAAACATCGGGGATCTCCTGACACGGGTCAATCCAGACCCGGGTCAGTCAGGCCTTCAGAATCCTGAAAGATCCTGCGGGATCCTGCACCCAAACCCGGGTCAATGCGAAGGATCCTGCAAGATCCTACAGGATCCTGCACCCAAGCCTGGGTCAATGCGACCCTGGCTCTGCAAGATCCTGCAAGATCAGTCGTTCTGGCTGACCCCCGTTTGCACTGACCCCCGTCTGAAGGCTCCCGAAAACATTGGGTGAACAGACTGCCGGTCCTGAGTTGTGCTACAGAGGGGGGAATGCCAGCGCGCTGTCACTTTTGGCCCAAGCCATTTGTTGCTGTCGAGCCTCACGTGAAGCCGCCTGCGCTCAAATGCTAGCTGGCAATTTGGGCAAATCCGTCGCAAATGTAAGGACTGCGCCTGTGGCAGATTATCCCGGCAAAGCAACCTAACAGCGATGTGTAAGAGCATATCTGGAAGCATTCCCCTTAAGATTCAGATGAGAATCCAGTTGTAGGATTCTGCTGTTCTCGCAGTCGTAGTCGCATTCGCGATGACAGTCGCAGTGGCAACGGAAGTCGCAGTCACAGCCTCAGCCTCAGCCTGCCTCAGCCTCAGCCTCAGCCTGCCTCAGCCTCAGCCTGCCTCAGCCTCAGCCTCAGCCTGCTTCAGCCTCAGCCTCAGTCTGCCTTCAGCCTCGGCCTCAGCCTCAGCCTGCCTCAGCCTCAGCCTGCAGCCTGCCTCAGCCTCAGCCTCAGCCTGCCTCAGCCTCAGCCTCAGCCTCAGCCTTCAGCCTCAGCCTCAGTCTGCCTTCAGCCTCGGCCTCAGCCTCAGCCTGCCTCAGCCTCAGCCTGCATCAGCCTCAGCCTCAGCCTCAGCCTGCCTCAGCATCAGCCTGCCTCAGCCTCAGCCTCAGCCTCAGCCTGCCTCAGCCTCAGCCTCAGCCTCAGCCTCAGCCTCAGCCTCAGCAGCCTGCCTCAGCCTCAGCCTGCCCTCAGCCTCAGCCTCAGCCTGCCTCAGCCTGCAGCCTCAGCCTGCCTCAGCCAGCCTCAGCCTGCCTCAGCCTCAGCCTCAGCCTCAGCCTCAGCCTCAGCCTCAGCCTCAGCCTCAGCCTCAGCCTCAGCCTCAGCCTCAGCCTCAGCCTCAGCCTCAGCCTCAGCCTCGGCCTCAGCCTCAGCCTGCCTCAGCCTCAGCCTGCAGCCTCAGCCTCAGCCTCAGCCTGCCTCAGCATCAGCCTGCCTCAGCCTCAGCCTCAGCCTGCCTCAGCCTCAGCCTCAGCCTGCTTCAGCCTCAGCCTCAGCCTCTGCCTTCAGCCTCGCCTCAGCCTCAGGCCTGCCTCAGCCTCAGCCTCAGCCTCTCATCAGCCTCAGCCTGCCTCAGCCTCAGCCTCAGCCTCAGCCTCAGCCTCAGCCTCAGCCTCAGCCTCAGCCTCAGCCTCAGCCTGCTTCAGCCTCAGCATCAGTCTGCCTTCAGCCTCGGTCTCAGCCTCAGCCTGCCTCAGCCTCAGCCTGCATCAGCCTCAGCCTCAGCCTCAGCCTGCCTCAGCATCAGCCTGCCTCAGCCTCAGCCTCAGCCTGCCTCAGCCTCAGCCTCAGCCTGCTTCAGCCTCAGCCTCAGTCTGCCTTCAGCCTCGGCCTCAGCCTCAGCTGCCTCAGCCTCAGCTTGCATCAGCCTCAGCCTCGGCCTCAGCCTGCCTCAGCATCAGCCTGCCTCAGCCTCGGCCTCAGCCTCAGCCTGCCTCAGCCTCAGCATCGGCCAGCCTCAGCATTCAAAATGTGGCCCAGGAATGGAGTTCTCGGAACTCGAAGAACACGAAGTGGCCTACAGTTGGCTCCAGGCATTCAAAATCATGCCCAGGAATGGAGTTCTGGGAACTCGAAGACCACGAAGTGGCCTACAATTGGCTCCGGGCATTCAAAATCATGCCCAGGAATGGAGTTTTGGGAACTCGAAGACCACGAAGTGGCCTACAGTTGGCTCAGGGCATTCAAAATCATGCCCAGCAATGGAGTTCTGGGAACTCGAAGAACACGAAGTGGCCTACAGTTGGCTCCGGGCATTCAAAATCATGCCCAGGAATGGAAGTCTGGGAACTCGAAGACCACGAAGTGCGTTACTGTTGGCTAAAAAAGGAGTCCCCGGATTCCCGCGGCACCCGTCCGGCATCTGCCAAGACCCCCTTGGGGAGTCAAAATGCTCTCTTCTCTCTTTTGAGCCCACTAGAAACCTATCAGTCTTCGCTGTTAGGTAAAAAAGGGTCGTCTTTCTCATCAGTTAGTCTCACAATCATTCCGTGCACTACTCCAAGGAGATGGACGTCGGAGGGAGGAAGGGGACAGGCATCGGATTCAGCTCGAAAGAGGAAACGGTGCCGATACCGCCACCTTTGCCTCGTTTTCCCCTTTGTAGGCCTCCTGGGAGGCCCTCTTCGTCACGGCTGGATGCGCCTCGAAATTCTGGTCAGAACAAAGAGAGGTCCAGGGAGCAGCGGTACTGGTACGTCTTGGTTTCCCCCTGGATCTTGGGCGCGAGCATCAGCGAGGAACGCGGTCGACGCCAAACAACGCGAAACGCGCGGGCGCTGATCAGAATGCATCCAGTAACGTGCACCCGGACACGAACGCACCAGAAGTTGGATTAGCAGCAGCAGCAGCAGCAGCAGCAGCAGCAGCAGGTACTGGACGTGAATGCCACAATGTCGGCTGGCCCCCTGCTTCTGTCAGTGGCAGGAAAACGTTAGGGATGTCGCCCTCCCCACCCAGTAGAGGAGACAGGAGAGCAACTGGATGAGAGGATGGGGAAAGGGAAAGCGAGAGCATCATGGTCAGCCTGGCCCGCGAAGGGGCCAGGACTAGACCCACAACCAGACAGAACCCCTTAGGGCCGAAGAACAGAAGCATCAGAAGCATCCTGCAGATGTCCATGGATCTCGCAACGTTCGAGGGCGTGTTTGGTTGGTTGTTTCGGAAGGCGTCGGCAGAACCTTCCCTCCTCCCTCCCCCTTTTCCAATCCGTCGTCGGCGGACCCCTCCTACCTTTGGAAAGATAGGGGGGGTCCGGACACCCGCCTAATGGACTCCAAATTCGGACCCCGCCCCCTCCCCCGCCTGTCGCCACGCCGCCCCCTGGCTCCCGAACCCGATCCCTACCACCCCTAATCCTAATCCTAGCCCCTACCCTACCCCTAACCCTAACCATAGACCCCAACAACAGCCCGAAACCCTAAAGCCCAACTCTACGCCCGAACCCCATGCCCCAGTCCGAAACCTTGTTCCGAATCCGTACACCCTGGCCCTACTCGCTACTCACTACTCACACCTCACTGCTCACTAGTCACTACGCACTCGCTACTGGCTACGCTTTACTCACTACTCACTTCTCACTACTCCCTATTCACCACTCACTACGCACTGCTCACTACGCACTAATCACAACGAGCTACCGACTACTCACTACTGACTACCTCCTACTCGCTAACCCCTACTCGCTACTTACTACTCACTACCCACTTCTCCCTACTCGTCGCGCTCGTCGGCGGACACGGCCGCCGACCCCCCGCGCTCCCGCTCGCCGGCGCGCGCGCTTGTGCCCGCCAAGCAAGCGAGTTTGTGTGCCTACAATTTCGGCACACCCCTCACACAGTTCGTGGCCCCATTAAGGATCTCCACCTGAGGCCCTGGTGGCAGCAACCAAATGGCACCGCCGCGCCCAGTTTTTTGACACACCCTTCACACGATTCGTGGCCCCATAGGGAGCTCCACCTGAAGCCCCAGGGAGGGCGCCCGCCCGCATGGCACTGCCGCTCCCGTTTCGGCACGCCCTTCACACGCTTCGCGGCCTCATGAGAAGCTCCACCGAGGGCGCCAGTGGCAGCGCCCGCATGGCACCGCCGCGCCTATTTCATCGCAACCCTCACACGTTTCGCGGCCCCATAGGCAGCTCCACCGAAGGCTCCAGCGGCAGCGCCCGCATGGCACCACCGCGCCAATGTCGGCACACCCCTCACACTTGCATTGGCCCCAAAGGGAGCTCAAACCGAAGACCGTACTCACAACCGCAGCACTCACCACTGCATATGGTTGGGTCCTTCGCCCGGAATTATGTTACAGTTCTGACTATCTTCAGGCCTCGGGAGACCTCCAGGTACCCTTGGAGAAGCGGCAACAAAAAGAGTGGCGAAAGCAGGAGAGAACCGCAGAGGTGAGGTAATGGCGCGATGACGGCGTGCAACTTGTCGTTAGTGTCGGCAGTCACTCAATCGACTCTCAAGCGCGCGTGCGGACAGGCAGTGTTCACAAAGAGCCTTCACTGTACCACTGCATGCACTCAAAGCTCAAGAGGGCATTCAGTTCAAACTTTCTGCATGGTCGCTATGACCCTGTAGCAAAGCGCATAGTGTCCTGTGCAATCGTTATCAGGTCGCCGTCTCTGAAAGGGATCTGCATCAGCTTCGCCAGCGTGTTGCCTCGCGACGACAAGGAATATCCCCCTTCCTCCCTCTCCATACCCCCTCCATATCCTCCTCCATATCCTCCTCCTGCTCCTCCTCCTCCTCCTCCTGCTCCTGCTCCTGCTCCTGCTCCTCCTCCTCCTCCTCCTCCTCCTCCTTCTCCTCCTCTCCCCAGGCATCCGACGTTGTGCTTGTCTCAAAACGTGGCTGCCCAAAAGTCTGAACGTCTCCCCAGGGACTGACTCTCCTCTCCACGCCCAGTCGTTTTGGGCCAGTGTCCATCCCGAGACCAAAAATGGTCGAAACCTTGCCTTCGCGTTTTCTTCACAACGAAAAAAGTCAAGGGAAAGAACGACTCTACATCGGTGCATGTGGAAACATCCTCCGCATGGAGCTGAAGCCCCCTTTGGTCTTGCGTCCTCCTCAAGCCATCCAGGCGACTCGGGGCCCAGGGGGACCCCAGGCGCCCAGATTATTCATAGGATCCGCCACCTAGCAAGAGACATTGGCCTGGACATATTTCACAATCAGATCCAATCATAAAAATTATAGCCGGAGTGCAGTATCCCCAAACAGGGTTTTTAGACCCACTGCGGTTTCCAAGGTCGATTGCGTGCCCGCCTAGTGCGGGCTGGCATGGCATGTTAAAACATGCCTCCTCCTCCTCCTCCTCCTCGTCCACCTCCTCTTCATCCCGAAAGGCATCTCGGAACCCAGAGTTGCGAGGATGTCTCCAGCGTAACGGGCTGGACCACCTCGCGCGCGGCATCTCGGACCCCAGAGTTGCGACGATGTCTCGGGCGAAACGTGCTGCGAGGAAGTCTCAGGCGAAACGGGCCGGACCACCTCGAGCGCGGCGTCTCAGAGCTCCGAGTTGCGGGGGCCTCCTGGTGCCTCCTGGGGCCTCCTGGGGACCTCCTGGGGCTTCCTCCCGGGCCTCCTGTGGCCTCCTGAACTCCACCTGAGGTTTCCTGAAGCATCTTGGGGCTCCCAGGGGGGATATCTAACCTGTGGCCGTTTGGGCCTCTCCAAATACAGGGGGGGGCCACAGGAGCAGGAAAAATCAACGAATCGACACCGGATGTGTATTAACTTGACACGTTCTGATAGAGGGCCTCCTGGGGCCTCCTGGGAGCCTCCTGGGAATCTCCTGCGGACCCCTGGGGCCTGTCCTGGGCGTCCTGCGGCCTCCTGAAGCTCTCTGGGACCTCCCCCTCCTCCTGCCTGCTCCCTCATGCACATCATCCGCCTCCTCCTTCTCCCTTCCATCTCCTCCTCCTCCTCCTCCTCCTCCTCCTCCTCCTCCACCTCCTCTTCATCGCGAACGGCATTTCGGAGCCTAGAGTTGCGAGGATGTCTCCAGCGTAACGGGCTGGACCACCTCGCGCGCGGCATCTCGGACCCCAGAGTTGCGACGATGTCTCGGGCGAAACGTGCTGCGAGGAAGTCTCAGGCGAAACGGGCTGGACCACCTCGAGCGCGGCGTCTCAGAGCTCCGAGTTGCGGGGGCCTCCTGGTGCCTCCTGGGGCCTCCTGGGGACCTCCTGGAGCTTCCTCCTGGGCCTCCTGTGGCCTCGTGAACTCCACCTGGGGTTTCCTGAAGCCTCTTGGGGCTCCCAGGGGGGATATCTAACCTGTGGCCGTTTGGGCCTCTCCAAATGGAGGGGGGGGGGGGCACAAGAGCAGGAAAAATCAACGAATCGACACCGGATGTGTATTAACTTGACACGTTCTGATAAGCGGCCTCCTGGGGCCTCCTGGGAGCCTCCTGGGAATCTCCTGGAGACCCCTGGGGCCTGTCCTGGGCGTCCTGCGGCCTCCTGGTGCCTCCTGGGCCTCCTGGGCCTCCTGGGGACCTCCTGGAGCTTCCTCCTGGGCCTCCTGTGGCCTCCTGAACTCCACCTGAGGTTTCCTGAAGCATCTTGGGGCTCCCAGGGGGGATATCTAACCTGTGGCCGCTTGGGCCTCTCCAAATGGAGGGGGGGGCACAAGAGCAGGAAAAATCAACGAATCGACACCGGATGTGTATTAACTTGACACGTTCTGATAGAGGGCCTCCTGGGGCCTCCTGGGAATCTCCTGGGGGCCCCTGGGGCCTGTCCTGGGCGTCCTGCGGCCTCCTGGACCTCTCTGGGGCCTCCTGAGGCTCGCAGGGTCCCATGGAGGATATGTAACATGTGGCCTTCTGGGCCCCCAGGCTGGACCACCTCTTGCGCAGCATCTGAGAGCTCAGAGTTGCGAGAATATCTTGTGCGAAACAGGCCGGACCACCTTGCGCACGGCATCTCAGATCTCAGAGTTGCAAGGATTTCTCAGGCGAGACGGGCCGGACCACCTCGCGCAGGGCATCTCAGAGCTCAGAAGTTCGAGGATGTCTCAGGCGAAACGGGCCGGACCACCTCGCGCGCGGCATCGGGGAGATCAGAGTTTCGAGGATGTCTCAGGCGAAACGGGCCGGACCACCTCGCGCGCGGCATCTTGGAGCTCAGAGTTGCGAGGATGTCTCAGGCGAAACGGCCCGGACCACCTCTCGCGCGGCATCTGGGAGCTCAGAGTTTCGAGGATGTCTCAAGCGAAACGGCCCGGACCACCTCTCGCGCGGCCTCTCAGAGCTCAGATTTAGGAGGATGTCTCAGGCGAAACGCTCAATCCCGGACAACTCAGAAACGAGAGTTGTGAGGATGTCTCAGGCGAAACGGGCTGGACCACCACATTTGTTTGAGGATGTCTCTGCTTAGCTTTCCCTCGGCCGGAATTAGCTTCTATCACAACAGCACCCCGTTCAGCAAGCTGTTTGGGGAATGAAGTGTAATGACACGGCGCCTAGAACGCGCCAGCAAGGAAAAAGACGCCAGGACCGTCAAGAAGAACGTTGGACTGAGAAAACGAAAAAGCATACCAGGGATGCTCAGAACCGAGGGATACGGTGGTGCCTTGCTTCGAACACGAACTGACATCCTTCGCTTCAATGTGTTTGATACGTGGACCCCCGTACATCTCGACGCCTTCCCAAGGGCAATGTTGTTTTTATCCCGAGTCTACCCAGAGATGGTTTTGAGTGCCTTTTTTCGACACCCCTCACGAGGATCGTGGCCTCCGAGGGGGGTGCACTCGACTACCCCTCCCCAAGAGGCCCCCAAGAGGCCCCCAAGAGGCCCAAGGGGGCCCCAAGACGCCGCCAAGGAGCCGCAAGAAGAGGCCCCCAAGAGGCCCCCTAGGAGGCCCCAAAGAGGCCCCCGAGAGGCTTCAAAGAGGCCCCATAGAGCGCTCGAGGGCCGGCGGAATGAGCGAAGCGATTAAATAAGAAGAGGCGCCATGAATCTGAAGAGGCCCCCGCCATGATGTCCACATCCGATGAATCCCCCTAGTCATCACCCCCCCCTTTGCCGCCCCCGACAGGACTTCTGGACCCCTTCCCCCGGGCACTTTCCTTGTTGTACCCCGAGCCATGTGCTCACGACCCCGGGGCCCGAAGCCGGCCTCCGCATGGCACAGTAGGGCGACAGGCCGGCCGCCGCGGCGTCACAGAGCGCCAGATATCTGGGCCGGGGCGCGAGCTGAACTGGGCGACGCGCACAAGGGGGTGGAGGGGGGGGGGGGAGGGCTTCTTGGAAGCAGGGGTGCTTCTAGGAAGCCCTCCCTCCTCCCCCCCCTATGCGCGTGGCTAATAAACAATGCTTTCCCTCGTCCTGCCTTCGTTCCGCCATTGCTGCAAAACGGAATCAGAACGAGAACTGTCCACGACGTCGCCAAAACACCGTTTCGCTCGCACCGCGGTCTGGGATCTGGGCTCTGAAGCTCGACCCTTGGACCTGTCCTGGGGTGCGTTCCCGTCACAATCCCAAGGCGACCCAGACAACGCCAAGAACGAAAAAAACGACAGTTGGCGACAAACCTGTCGCCTCGATTATATCGACGCGCCAGATCTATGGGGTTGAAGGGCAGCCTCTGGGCTTATACCTTGGCACCGCGCGCCCCCGACAGGGCGCGAGGATCAGGCTGCGAGCCAAAGCGGCAACCGCCGACACGACGCAGGCCCCGTCCAGGCTCGACGAGGACGAACACGTTGGACCAGCGAGCTCAGCGATGGCGAAAGGAGGCAAAGGTCAACCCCCTCACGTCCACGGTCGTTGCCGAAAGAAGAGCGCCGCTCCCGCAGACCAGAGCTCCCTCGGGGGGGAAAATCGCCTGCGCGGTGCCGCTCTCCAAGGGCACGTGCGGCCGGGAAGGTGCCACCTCCCCTCATGCCTCAGCTCCCAGCAAGCGTTGCCCTCCCCTCTGCGAGGTCTGCACGGTATCCTGACTCTGTTCAACACGGGGTCCTGTCCCCAGGGGCGGCGTTTCATCCGAACTGTTTCTTTGGGCGGTCCCTGGGCCCGGTGAGGGCCCCCCTAGGTCGAAAACAACGAAAAAACGCCGCCTTGATTTTCAAGGCGACAAATGTCTGGGCCGGGGGTCAAATATCGATCTCCGGTTCTCTCCAACGGTGCGTTCTGCCTGCACGAATCCCAAGGCATATCCAGCCGTGGCGACAAGGATCCCAAAAGGCCAAGACATCAGGAAACCTCCATCCTCAAACCTCGAACTGCTGCCTCCATCCTCAAACCTCGAGATCGCTCCCGTTACTCCTTCCTGATCGTCCACTCCCCCCTCGAACCTCGGCCCGTGGCCATCGAGCCACGACCCTCGAGCCTCTGATCCTCCACCCTCGAGCTTCTGTCTTCGTCGCCACATCAACCTGCCGCTCGCTCACCCGCGCTCCCTCCGCGGCTCCGCCCCGGAGAGCGCAGCTGGCGGGGCGCGGTGCCTCCCGCCTCGCCGCGCTGCAGGCCGTTGAGGGAGACCACGACCTCCCGAGGACGATCGAGGCCTCCTAGACGAGGTCCGAGCAGAGGGAGTCGGAGGATTGCGCGGCATCGCCGATGTAGCGCCGATGCATGGCCGATGCATGGCCGATGCAACGGCGACGTCGGCGGGGCGGGGTGCCTCCCGCCTCGCCGCGGTGCAGGCCGTTGAGGGAGACCACGACCCCGCGAGGACCCTAAGCCTCCCAGACGAGGCCCGAGTGCAGTCAACGCGTACCATAAGGACGCAGGATCAGGATCCCAGGGCCTTGGGGGGCCATGACGACACTTTTCGAGCGGGGCGCGGCCAGCGAGAGTGGCCAAGGATGGGCCGAAGGGGAAGGGTGCAAGGGTAGCCTTGGGAAGTCGCTCATCCTCGCTGTCCGCGATGACTGTAGATGGGGTCGGGAGGATCGCGCCGCGTCGCCGCTGTATCGCCGATGTAGCGCTGGATAAATTGTAACGTGTACGGAAGTGACGTTTAAAACCTGCACGGAGGACCTACTAGCACTACTACTACTACTACTACTACTACTACTACTACTACTACTACTACTACTACTACTACTACTACTACTACTACTACTACTACTACTACTACTACTACTACTACTACTACTACTACTACTACTACTACTACTACTACTACTACTACTACTACTACTACTACTACTACTACTACTACTACTACTACTACTACTACTACTACTACTACCTACTACTACTACTACTACTACTACTACTACTACTACTACTACTACTACTACTACTACGACTACTACTACTACTACTACGACTACGACTACTACTACTACTACTACTACTACTACTACTACTACTACTACTACTACTACTACTACTACTACTACTACTACTACTACTACTACTACTACTACTACTACTACTACTACTACTACTACTACTACTACTACGACTACTACTACTACTACTACTACTACTACTACTACTACTACTACTACTACTACTACTACTACTACTACTACTACTACTACTACTACTACTACTACTACTACTACTACTACTACTACTACTACTCGCACTACTACGACTACGACTACGACTACTACGACTACTACGACTACTACGACTATTAGTACTAGTAATACTACTACTACTACTACTACTACTACTACTAGATACACACGCACTACTACTGCTGACACAACTTGCTACTGGATGCCCACGTACTACATACGTACAACGACTGTCTACGCACGTACAGGAGAAGACCCGAGGCGGAGGAGAGGGAGGGGGAGGGGGGAGGGTGGGGGGGGATGATGATTTGTGGTTGCCGAAAAAAGGAAACGCAATCCAATCCTTCAAACGCCGCGCAGCGCCAGGACGCCCTCCCCCAGGAGCTCGTCGTAGAGGAGGTACCTTCGGGGCGCTATGGGACCACGAAACGCAAGCTCCTTATGAAATGTGGCAGGGTGAACGGCGTTGGATTCCTGACCCGAGGTACCTGGCAACCCCACCTTCGCCGCGCCACAGCAGGACCACGAGGGCGGGGTCCGCGCGGCCGCGAGGCCATCCAGGGCCCCACATCGGCACCCACCACGTGGGCGGCACGCGGCGGGCTGGCCAGCCCGCCATGCACCGCGCGTCGCGCGGCTGCACCCGCGGGATTGGCAGCTCCACCCTCGCGGGCGCCCACCATTCCCGCGGCCCCGCCTCGTCAAGCCACTGCTGGCGAGGCTGAGGGCGGGAAGCCGCGGGCTGGCGCCGAAGCGCACTGGCGAAGCCCCAACCGCCGCCGAGCCCCACCCGCGAAGCGCGGGCGTGCCGACTGCCGCGGCACTCGGGGAGGTTGAGGCCCCTGGTCTGCCCTGGCCCCCAAGCCCCAGGGCGGTGGGCCGGCCAGGAGGCTGCCCCCCCGCGCGCCCACTGGGCCCGCGCCGCATCGAGCGGGGGGGGCTCCACTTCAGGGGCCGCCATGGCGGCCTCTCTCGCGTTGCCAAGGCGCTTCTCGACCGCCGTGCGCGGGTGATGATGATGATGATGATGTTGATGCTTATGATGATGATGATGATGTTGCTGCTGATGATGATGATGAGTCTGATGATGATAATGATGATGAAGATGCTGATGATGATGATGATGATGATGATGACGATGATGATGATGGGGGGAGGGGAAGGAGCCTGGGGGGGAAGAGGGAGGCGGAGGAGCGCCCTGAGGAGGGATGCGGCGGAGGGGCGACGAAGACGACTCGCGCGGACGACTGGGCGAGGGGAGAGGGGAGAAAGGAGGAAGGGAGGGACGGGAGGGAGGGGAGGGGGGAAATGAATACTAACAACAGTAAGACAGTAAGAAGATACGCTGAGCGGACAGAGCAGGGAGAGGAGTAGGAGGGCACCTCACAGGAGAACAAGGAACTGCGCTGGAGTACTCCAGGCATGGGCGCGGCTGGAAGGACAACGACGACGGCGACGGCGACGACGACGACGACGAAGCAGAGGCGCCAAGTAGCGCAACGTAAATGAGCGCACTTTTCTGAGCACTGGCGCACCGCGCCAGAGAAGTTAAAAAGTCTGTAAGCGAAGCAGTCTGAATATAAAACATACACACATATATATATATATATATATATATATCAGTTGGCCGCACAACGGGCCAAGAGCGCGTGCCCAGCAGCTCTGTCAGTATATGTGCGTGTGTGTGTCTCTATTTCTTTCTTTCGTTCTCGCTCTCTCTCTCTCTCTCTCTCTCTCTCTCTCTCTCTCTCCGTCCCTCTCCCCCGATCTCTCTCTCTCTCTCTCTCTCTCTTCTCTCTATCTCTCTCTCTCTCTCTCTCTCCCTCTCTCTCTCTCTCTCTCTCTCTCTCTCTCTCTCTCTCTCTCTCTCTCTCTCTCTCTCTCTCTCTCTCTCTCTCTCACTGTCCGCCTCTCTCTCTCTCTCTCTCTGTCTCTATCTCTCTATATCCCTCTCTCTCTCTCTCTCTCTCTCTCTCTCTCTCTCTCTCTTTCTCACTGTGTTATCTTGCTCTCCCCTCTCTATGCTCCCCCTCTCTCTGCCGCTGGCACCTCGGCTCTCGGCCGTCGGCGGCGGCCCGCGCCGTCGGCCCGCGGCGGGGGCCGCGCAGTCGCCTGCTGCGAGCGGCCGAGGCGGCGCAGCGAGCTGGCAGCAGGAGCGGGCAAGGAGGGCGAGAGGGAAGGAATAGGATGCAGACGCGGGCAAGGAGGGCGAGAGGGCATGCACCGAGGAGGCACGGGCCAGGCACAGAAGAAGAGAATGGGCGAGGGCGGTTCACAAGGGAGAGCGGGAATGAACTTCGGACTGAACCAGCATGGGGCATGTTGCCGAGGATGGGGGCGAGGATGGAAGATGAGGATAAAGGCGTCGTGAACCAGGATGGACGGAGCTGAGGAGACTGGGGAGCGAGCACTGGGCGCGAGTGGCCGCGGGGCCCAAGTCCACCTCGCTTGTGGATCCAGGAGCCGCCGCCGCCTGACCTCCCCTCCCCTCCCGCCGCCGCCTGACCTCCTCCTCCTCCCACCTATTTTCCCCCCTTGACCTCCTCCTCCTCCTCCTCCTCCTCCTCCTCCTCCTCCTCCTCCTCCCCCTCATCATCATCATCATCATCGCCATCCTCTTCCTTATCCTGATCGCCCTCCTCCTCCTCGTACTCCTTCTCCCAAATCCTCTCCCTGACCCTGCTCTTGACTTCTCTCGTGTCTCATCCCCCCCTACAGTGCCCTCAGCCCATCGCCCTCGCTACTCGACCTCAATTGACTCAAGTGCCAGTCCTGGGTGCCGTCGTTGTCGTCGTCGTCGCCAGCGGCGTCGCTCGTCGTCGCGCGTCGTCGGCCGTCGTCGTCGTCGGCGTCGGCGTCGTCGTAGCCGCCGTCGTCGTAGTAGTTGTTGTCGTCCTCGCAGTCGTCGTCGTCGTCGTCGTCGTCGCCGGGGTCGTCGGCGCCATCTTCGCCGTCGTCGGCACAGAGAGGCGCGGAGGCAAGTGCGACGGGCAAGCTGGAGGGCACGCTAACATATCCTGGACTCTCCCTCCCCTGCTGCCCTCGCCCCCGTTGCCCTCTCGCTCTTGGGCAGTTTTCAAGGTGCGCCCTCGCGCCCGCGAGAGTCATTGCTAACGTGAGTAGTGTACAGAACATAATCGGCCCTGCCCCTAATGTACAATACATAATCGACCCTGCCCCATTCAATCAATCACGATGATCTCTACAACTGTCTGGTCAGACACAGAAGTCGGGCCCGTCTCGTGCAACGTGCCGCGGTGGATTTGGATGGACTCGCAATGCTCCGTGAGCTTCTGGCGCTTCGACGGGAGCCATGTGTTCGCCTCGCAAATCCTGAACTTCGGACGGGGTGCTATTTTGATGGGGGTACTGAGGAAGAAGACGGACGTCTGCTCGAACCACGGGTCGGGCTTGGTGGGGGGCACGGCGCCCGAGTAGGGGGCGTCGAAGATGCGCTTGCGCCACTCCGCGCGGCGCGCGCTGGGTGCGACGCACGGGGGGGTGTCTGGAATGTCGAGACCTATGGCACGCATAGCCTCGCGCGCGACGAGCGGGCCGCCCTTGGCGCCCCGCGGCCTCTCGGAGCCGCTAGAACCCACTGGCTACGGACACGGGCTCCAGAGACCAGGACGGCCGACGATCAATAATATCCCGAAGCAGATTGACATGATATTGCGACGTGTACGGCAAGTCTGAAGGTGATGGTTAATATGATGATGACGAGGTTGATTGAGGTACCGACGGCACTTAGAGCTATAAAGTGACGGGCGATGATGATGCGGAGCAGGGCGGTCAGAATGACGACGGCGATCGCGGCGTTGATGGTAGCGGCGATGCGCGGAGTGCATGAAGACCCAGAGCGAGGACGGACGGACGGGAGCTGAATCAACCGAGCGAACATATGCATGAGCGAGGGCACGGAACGACACGGCGCTTTGAAGCACCTGAACCGACGCACTTCGAGCTACATCACGCTCGTTCCTGAGCCCCCCCCATATCGTGCGTTTGGTT